TTGTGATTTTTCTTTGATAGCTGTCTAGCAATATTAATCAAAACGATCGTGTTTAATGATGGTTTAAGTGTACAGACAATTTATCTAGTGATACTTCCCTTACTCTATTTTAGGTTTGACAGCATTAATTTTATAAACCCATAGCTTCAGGTATTCTGTATGAGTTTAAAAAGTCTGTTAAGTGCATCTTTAATAAATGGAAATGCTTTTAAAAATGTGAAAACATAAGCATTTTTTATTTAAAAATATAAAGCTTGTCTGATCCCTGATGTGTTGATCAGAAAAAGCCAGCTTAAACCACAGCATCTCTGAACTTGTGTGATTTCGTACTAGTTTACAAAAGTACTTTGCTTTCTGAGGAAAGAAGATTAGGCTTTCAGCTTAATCTGCTGAAAGATACATGGGGGCTGAAAGGGGCCTTAGCTGCATATGCAATTTCTGTTGGTTTTGTTTGGTGGCTTTTCCAGAAACGTGGGATGTGCAGGATGTACAGGGGACATTTCCAGGCTGGAGTGGTCTCGGGCTTAGGGGCTTCCTCAGCCAGAGGTTCTACACACACTTCCATAGAAAAACCCATTTAACTCATTTTGGGAGGGGGCCACTATGATTCTCCTTAAACTACTTTATCTCTGAATGCTGAAGAAATGTGCCCAATGCTTTATTTACATACATATATATATATATGTATATATATATATGTAAATGATTCTTATGTCAGCAGAAGTAATTGACTCCAGGTGCTCTGATAAACTTTCAGAGAACAGGAAACCTCTATAGATTTTTAATTACAGGAGTTAGCATGTTTAAACAAAGCTTTTATTATTCAAAACTCTTTTTCAAGGAATGGCAAAGTCAAAATGCAGAATCAAGGAGTATTTTTATTTAAAAGCACGCATAAAACATTCATTACTAAGTTAAAAGTGGCATGAGCAAAACATCACTTTATGCTTTGGAAAGACTTGAGGTCAATGCAGAGATGTTCTTTTTTTATATTTAGTTTTCTCTTGCATACTTTTCTAAAGCAAGTCTATAATTTGGCTAGAATCAGGGATTTTCTTTTCTTGTCTGCTCCTTATGACTGTCATCAGGCCTTCTAACTGCTAAAAAAAGGCAAATTAAAACCTTACTGTGTTGGTAAACTGGTTTGTTAACTGGTAAAACATAGGAGTCCATTAAGAAAAAAAAACTGCCACATTTTGACTGTGTTTTTAAACTGTCCATTTTATGCTCCCTTTTCCATTGTTTTGTGACATAAAGTGAGGAGCAAGATTTCTCATGAGAGAAAAATAAGCCACAACATTTCCTAAAAGGAGGTGAGGGAAAAAAAAAAAAGGAGGCAAAAGTCCAAGGAATGGGAGTGTTTCCTTCAGTTCAGAGGGGCTGGTGACAAATGAGCCCAAGTCTTCCTCGCTGGGGAGTCCAGATCTGCAGGTGAGATGCTGACTGTTTTTCAGCTAGTTGACTGCTGTAATTGCTGTTTAATTACTTAATTGAAAGGGTCTCCCTCTAAAATTGCAAGGCCCCTTTTTGCCTTGGAGCTGTGCTTAAGCTAATTGGAATTAACCCTATGGATATACATGGGAGAGATATAAGGCCTTTCATCTGCTTCTTTCCAGCCACTGCTTCTCCTACGTTGCCTCCGTTTGTGTGGGACGGTGTTCTTACTCATAGCCTTTTCCTCATTTTTCTCCTTCGGTGGTCATAGATTTTCCTGTAATTTGTGTGGCCCATTTCTATAGCTTCTGTTTTGTTTTTCGTTTTTATTTTCCTTTCCTCCATCACATGCAGTGTGTTAGTTAGTGTTTAAAAAAATGTGAAGCATGAGGCCCCTTTGCAGCTCAATTCCTTGCTGTTCTCAGGTGCCTCACGAGGAGAGGTGACACCCCCACCTCACCTGGTCACTGGTCCGGTGTGACACGGGACCTCTTTGAGACATTGCTCGCTGCACAGCCCGCGTTCCCTGCTCGCTTGCTACGCATCTTCGCCGTCTCCCCACGCCCCAAGGGGATCGTGAGGCTCAGGTAGCTGCCGAACCCACGTGGGGAAAGACGCGGCCCTCGGATTCTTTCATCTATTTTTACTCTATCATGTGCTTCCTCACCATTCTCTCTGAGCAGCTCCCAAACGTTATTTTTCATCTCTACTCTGTCAAATAGTACAAAATATTCATATTCTTAACGTTGTGAAGTCCAGCTGGTAGGGGGAAGGACAAGGGGCATTAACTGAGGTTTTGTTGTGATATATGGTGAATTGTACATTTTTTATAGTCCTAATGACAGGCACTTCACAAGGCACAATTACAGGTAGCAGCGTTGTTACTGTGTATTTTGGGGTCGCCAGCTGGCGTTTTATATTTAGACAATTGTACTTTATTTTCCAAGAGGAACTGCAGTTTAAACTTAGCTGGCCCAGCGTGCCTGTCCTGAGAGGCTTCCTCGGCATCCTGGTGGAAGAGGGGTGGCCCGTCCCACAGCCGCGTGGCTCTCGTGGCAAGTGCGGTCAGACAGAACAACTGCCTTGTGCTGCCCAGGGCAGCTCTGCCTCATGAGCTCTGCCTCATTTTGGGTGCGCATGCAATCTCACAGGATTTACAGGAAGGCTTTATTGACATAATTGCAGTTACTGTAGTTTATAGAAAAAAATCAGCAGAAGACCAGTCGCTTTAATATTGTGTATATCACATTGCAGTGGAAGGCGAGGAGGGTGCAAGGTCAGTTGCGTAGTGGTTGCCATCAGTCTGAAATTATCATTCTGAATGACAAGTTTAATTTGCACTTTGACCCTAGTATTAGCTTTAACTCCATCTCCTTTCTGTTCCCTAATAACGCTGGTCTCTTCTTTCTTTAAGATCATCATAACCTTTTTATGAAAAGAAATTAGCGAGAAAATTCCTCTCTCCAGAAGGCTCCTTTTATTTTCCTTAACAAGCTTTCTACTCCACCCCGTTGTTCTGAATTATGTGTGAAATATTCAGTTCATTATCAGTCAGTGTTGCAAGAGAAGATGCCACAAATCTTGCAGACTATTATTATGGAATCATCTGCAACATTAAAAGGAAAAAGCTATAATCTATTTTAAACGTGTTGTTTTCATTTTCAGTAACTGTCTCTCCTGTTAGGAGATAGGATAAGAAGTACTCATTTTCTCTTCCTTATACTATTCATTATTGACAGTGTCCGGTGCTAAGTCCTTTCTATTCATCTTCTCTGTAAACACTTTTTCACAATTTCTCTTCAGAAAGAAAACCTTCAAAGCCTATAATCATTTTTATCCCCTCTCTTTTTTCTCTCATTCTGTCCTTTGTGGTGCTGCTGCATATTTCAAGGCTATCAGACATAGCCTTCCAGTTAATGGGACTATGCTGCTAATTTTCAAAATGACACTGTATTTTCAGTATTATTTTTTGCTTTGTGCATTAGAATAGTCTGTGTGTT